GTATAAAGAACAATTAGGGTAATAATCGAACCATTGAAGCATTAAGTTTGATTTTATTCTAGCATTTAATATAACAGAAGAGAAGGCTATAGCTGAAAATATTTTTAACGGTGGTATCTTAGGCACATTAGCACCAACTTATCGAGCAAAGAGTAAAAATAAAAGCGAATAAGAAAAATACCCAATCTTTTATCTTTTATGCTCAATCCATCTCAATCTTATTATTAAGAGGATGTTGATAATTCTAATGGTAATTAACTGTATTAGATTCACCGATACTCTAAACTTGTGCAATGTACCACAGAATTTCTATCCAATTAAATGATAAAATTTAAGGGATTTACTACTTTCAATATCGCAAACAACATTGACTTCAATGGCGTTAAAATTTTTAGACAAGCTATCAGAAGACTTTACGGAATTGCTAAATGATAAGGAAGATTACAATGTTATCATTGAAGTTGACAAAGAACAAAATAAGAAGTCGTATACTGCACACTCTGCAGTGTTACGTTATCGGTCATCATACTTTCGTAAAGAATTAACCAAGATCGCTGCCGACAAAAATAATATCAAGACCATTATTTTAAAACCTAACATTTCTTCTAAAGCGTTTGAAGTACTCCTCAAGTACGTAATAAAAAACCTTTTTTTTTTTAATATGATATAATAGTCAATAAAAAAAAATTATTATTATTATTATTTTTTTTTTTTGTAGATATTTATATGGTGGTATTGTTAACTTGGAGCACGTAGATAATAGATTCATATTAGATCTAATGACCTCTGCCGAAGAGCTTGAATTTGAAGAATTATTCGAAAAGCTGGAAATTTACCTTATCGAAAATAAAGCATCCTGGTTACGCACACACTTTTCCTCCGTCTACCACTTGATATTTAACAAAAATGGTCGTTTTAAAAACTTGGAAAATTTTTGCAATGATGTCTTGGCAAAATATCCTAACCTTATATTTGATGCCGAAGATTTTACTTCTATTAAAGAATATGCGCTAGTTTCCCTTATTAAGAGAGATGATTTACAAATGGAGGAAGTAAGGATTTGGAACAAAGTTATTCACTGGGGGATTGCTCAAAATCCCACGTTACCTTCAAAACTCGAAGAATGGTCTGACGATAATTTCACAACCCTAAAAAAGTCTCTTCAACAATGTTTGCCACACATCCGTTATTTTCAATTATCCGGTGATGATGTTATGGAACAGTTAGAACCATATAAAAAGATTCTAGAAGAACAACTTTGGACTGATATAATGAAGAATTTTATTACACCAAATAAGCCATTAAAGTCAATTGTTCTACCTGCAAGATCTGTAATTATTTCAGAATTGCCTAAGAGAATGGAAGAATCTTTTTCAACTATTATTAATGATGAACATGTGGCAAAAATTTCATCATGGATTGATCGCAAGTCAGCAGTGTATCCCCTATCTAGTGTCCCGTATGAATTTAGATTGGTATTAAAAGGAACCCGCGATGGATTTGACCACCAAACTTTTTGGGATATAAGTCATGGTCATACGAATACAGTAATTGTTGCAAGGATTAAAGGAACTGATGAAATTATTGGAGGATATAATCCTTTGACATGGGATAAAACTATCAATGACATTTATTTAGAGACCAAAAATAGTTTTGTTTTTTCATTGAAAAATGGAAATATACAAAGTTCTATCCTTAGTCGAGTAAAAAATACAACTCATGCGTTTTATATTGACCCTAGATATTTTGGTCCGGTTTTTGGAAGTGGCATAAGCTTCTTATACAATGGTTATATTTACATTACTACTTACAATTATTATGAAAAGCCTATCAAAGAACCTGGATCATATAATATGACGGATTATGAAGTGTTTGATGTCATGGAAAAATATGTCATTGAAGAAACAACATAACACACTGCAGTATATTATTTTACAATATTTATATGTTTACGTTTAACTACATTTAAAAAAATTATGAATATTAATATACATTTATGAATTAGTAAGAGTATGTTATAGAAACGGTTTAATATTCAAGTTTCAGTATAAGTTATTGCAAAAAACATT